AAAAAATTACGAAATTTTTCTATGGTTCCTAATATGTTGTCAATATTGTGTCCGGTTCATTCACGCAAATAAACATCAGGAACAATCGGGCGATGTGGACGATTCAGAACCATTTCTTTCAATCGAGCGTTATTTTATGTTCAAGAAAAATTTATTATTTTTGGTATTTTTGCGCTACGAACAGTATAACTTAACCTGTTGTTGTTGTTGTTGTTTTTCAAGTTGAGACAGTGGATTATCTTAAACCTAACCGAAACTTTGTTTCAATCACGCATCAGTAATTGTAATTTCAGAGGGACTTTATGCAAAAGAGAGGAGCTGTTATCCTTTGGAGCTCACACAATAGAACTGTCTTTGTTTTTAACCTGTCAACATCACTTTTATTTGTCAGCATGAAATCAGAGAGATAGGCGCCATCATAGGGTGACGACTTCTTTGAGATACCATTCGGCAAATCTTGTCACAACGCCCACCATTCACGTCTGGTTCTGAAGTCATTGCTGTTTATCTTTTTAACACGTGTTCACACCACAACTAATCACCGGCCTGTTTGTTATCTTTGTTTGCTTTGTTTTGTGTCCAATCTTTTGTCATTCCTTAGTCCAAAGTTTGGTAGGTCCAAATTTTGAGGACAAAGGCTCGCTCATTAGAACAGGGAAACTGTCTCACCGTTTACAACTCTATACAATCACTTGGTAATCACTCATTCAAACACTGGGGGTCCGTCGAAATATAATATAACAATTCAACCTTTATACTACCTAGTAAAATCTTTCTAAAAATTTTGTGTGATCGATGAATAGACGCAACAGCCTTGAATATAATTTGAGCTTTGCCAAAAAACAAAAACAAAAAGCAAATACACAACGTTGGTGTTGTTCACATCGGCAAAAATTTACGGATTTAGAATCTCAATAAAGCTCAAACGAGGCAGTGTTTACTCTGCGATTTTCTTCACAACTGATTTCCCGGCGCTATCCGATATTCAGAATTTTTCAATGAAACCTCCGCATGGATTTTAGGGCAATCTGTAATGCAGAAAGGACCAAAATTCAATAAAAACATTTGTAAGTATGTTATTATTTATAAACTTAAAAGTTATGACAGCAAATCGACTTGTTGAAAAAAGAAGATCGTTCGGGATAATGTTACTGGAATTTTCATCCTATAGAGATCTAATAGTGTTAGAGCTGTTTGTTAACTGAGCAGAGAATGATTTACCTCAATTATTCTCTGTCAGGAGGCCATTACTTGGTCTCCTGTCTTTGTGAAATAAATATTTGTCTTTCAACTTTGCTGGATACGATGTACGCTTTCGACCTACGGTCATCCGGCCATTAGAGGAAGCTGAAAACTTATATCACATCCTTAAAAGAATAATAATTTATTTCCGCTTCTTATTACTTCTGCTTCTTTAATTCTGATAGATCCAATTAGAGGATTTGTCTGTTAGTCTATTGAAGAAAAATTAAGAGAGACTTGAGCAAAGATTTATCATGCAGTAACTTTTTTTAGAAAATTAATTACTACAGCCGACACATTCTCATCCCACGCTTCCACGTCCCACTGGAAAGGAAATTAAATACATTCCCGTTGAAAAAATGCTTACCCCTGCCATGGGACGAAAGTCGTAATGGTCAATTCTCCTAAAGAGATTTTATGAAATGGAAAGGTGCTTTAATCTGACCGGGAAAGACATGGAGATTTTCAGTCGATAAACATTTCGGGCTCAAGACAATATCGTTTAATTTCTAGGTAAGGCGAACAGATACACAAGAGTGTGAATCAAGCGCAAATAAGCACTCCAGAAAGTAAACAAACAGTTAAGAAAATACAAATATAAATAAATCTTAAATAAGTCGATAAATTAATAAATAAATAGATAAATAGTGTCCGGGATGGACACAGAGAAAAGTGCTTCGACCAAACTCTTGCCAAACGAGTGTTTCTTAGCCGTTTTTGGAGCCCTCCATTTAAATTCATGAATATCACTTAAACGAATGAAACAATTTGAGAATGTTTAATATTATGTGCCTAATTAACAATACTAGCCTCTTCGTCGATAAATACCAAATTCAAAATCATGATATTTTCCTGCACTTATCATGGTCAGCTCGTAAATTTAAAAACCTTCGTCTATATTTTGTCAATTTACCAATTGATTTAGGAGCCTCCAACCTCGAGTATCCTTGTTGTATAATATTTGATTTAAAAGACTTCCTGGAAGAAGTTCCTTCCTATTTTCCTCCACCGTTTCGGCGGCTTTTGGTAAAGAGACAGAAATAACGGCGTTAATGTGATGCGGTCAAAATCGAGGGTTTTGAAAGTGAGAGAGTTCATTGTTCAATATTGATTTTATATCGATGTCAAAGCTCACAATAGCAGACATCTGCGTCCCAATGCTTAATTATACGGAGCCAGTCGGACATCGAGGAGGTAAGCCACTGAAATTGAAGTTGCAATATATTGATCGGTTTGTTGGGTTCCTTGTATGAATCACTAAGTGCGATAGACAGCCCTCTTTTTTCATTTGCATTTAGCGGTAGAGATCATATTTACGCCAACTTTTAGTTTTTTTTTAGTTTTCAACCGCCAGAGTTTACGTTAATGGCATATTTTTCCTCTTACGAAGTTTGGATTCTGCGAAAACTTTACGCGTACGTGCTTTGGTTCTGCGGAGATGCGCATTGAGTGGAAAAACAAATTACGTAAAATAACCCACTTCCTCCGGAGAAAAGAATGTAACATACGCGCAAAGATTTATTTTGAGGCGATGAAAAAACCTTCTCAGAGAAATAAAAATTTATCTCGAGTTAATAAAACAGATGGTCAAAAGGACAAAGATGGCTTTTTTCACAATGCACGTTTGGGCTCACGCGTTAAGTCGCGTGCAAGACAAGTGCCTCTTCTCTCAGTTTCATGCGCACGGGCGGATCGATATTGAAGTCACCACCCTTGACCGCCCAAACGTGATGGTCAAGTGTCGGTATTCAGTGTTTATACTAGAAACAATAGCTTTTAGAGAGCAGGAGAGGAATGCGATCGAAATATTAAAAATCATTGCTAAGGTTGTTTTATGTCAACTACAATGAAATAGGCTTAGTCCATTTCACAAAAGACTGGGTGAAACAATATATCAGTTTCTATAAACACGCAACTTAACACAATATCATCCCAGGACTCATTTATTTGAAATATTTATTGTATTTTCATGGTTCGGTTCTTTATGAACTGATTTGTAAATAATTGCATTCAGAAATTCGTGGGTTTAAGCGTCAGCTCTTTGGAATAAGGCCAGGAACGTTTTTTGAACAAAATCTTCGGAATATCCGGATACGTTAGAAAAGGGCATTGGTCAAGAGAGATTTATCCAAAATGATGTAATTTCAAAGAAGAGCTTTTGCATTCCATGGCCTATCGATGGAACAGAAACGAATTTACATGCGTCGGTTCTGATTCACAAAGAAGTTGTGTTCCACTTTTGTAGACTTAATGTTTCGTTGAACAATGGTAGTCTCAGGTTCTAGACAGAAAGTGATGAAAATTATAGGTTAGAAGTCGTTCCGAGAAGATTGTTGAAAAAAATATGTTGGATTGTTTGAATGTTTTAGTGATGCGATAAATCTAACATAGACAAAAAAACACGGCGGGGGTGAAAAGTATGCAGCGTTCGGCTTTTTTTTTTTGTCAAGGAGGCGTGGTGACCAAATCATAGATCAACATGACTACAAGACAGAAATTGCAATCAAACAGTCAGGAGTTCTTTCCTTTCGCTGATTAGATATTCATAGAAACTCTGGCCGCAACTCTGAAGTTGTCTATCTTGACAGTCTGTAGAGAGAACGATCGTCGCGAGGGTCAATTTGGAATTTAGGTGCTTTCAAGTCCATTAACTTGATTTTTTTCCTTTCGTTTCGTTCCGTGTGTTTCCGGCCGAAAGTATCTCAGATAATGATCCCCAAGGTACAATGTTAAAATTTACTAATAAGAAGCAGGGTAGTGGCACGAAAGTTTAAAATGTGGTCTCACAATTTATGGGAAACAATAATCTGTCAGGTCAATTGACGCACATTACTTTATGACGAAACTTGAACTGACGTGTGAACGTTTCGCAATTAAATGTAATTTATACTCTGTTATTGCGCTGGTCAGTAACACTTGGATAAGATGTTCGCTGACACTGTCACAATTTGGGAATTTCTCTCTCGCTCAAGTTCAAATTTCAAGCTTACTAGCCTGTTCCAGGCCATATGGTAAACGGCGCGTTAGCAACCGAGGGACAAAAGGGAGTTTGGGTTGGGTTACGTACGGATCCAAGCCTCTCTCGTTTTATCCATCTGTAACTAACGCGCCAATCATCATCGCCTGGAACAGAATGGAAACGTACCAACAAACACATCGACTTTGATTTAATGACAAGTTAGCGTCTAAGTGAAGTTTGTTGCATTACTGAATCCAGCGCACACTTCATAACTTTGTGAGAGTTACAAGCAGAGGTTACTGGTCGCGCCACAATGTGACAAATTTTCAATTATTTTTCAATTATAGATTACAAACAGAGAAAAACAAAAGGGTGAACAATTCCGTAATGGCCTTACAATAGGAAATTTCGAATCAAATTTGAGACATTTTAAAAAAGTTTCGAAGTAGATGCGCCCGGTTCAAGTAAGTTAGAACACTTTTGCCGATCCGCTCAGCATTTCATCTCTTTAGGATCTTCAGGGGCACGTTGGGATGTTTTTCTATCGTTTGATAACTTTTTTAGAAGGCAATGAACTAGTTCAACATAAAATGCATATGTAGCGTGTCTAGAAATGAATTTCAAGTTTAATACTCAAAGTCCTACAAAATAAAACCATTGAACCGTGTTACAATTGCAAGTCTGCAGGTTGAAAAATTGTATAAAAAAGGCAGAAATCCCTTACATATTACTACTTTTGCTCATTTGCAACCAATGATAGAGCCATTTCCACACAAAGATACGCATGAAACAAGACTCAAAAGTCACTGAGGTTTGGGGACCTCTTCAATAATCAATCGTGACACTGAGTTCCAGCCTGTATATCCGTCTGAGTCTCCTCGTCCAGGACAATTTCCAATGTTGATAGCAACACGGATTCTTCCCTTGGGGATGTTTTCACAGTAGCCTTCTATTGCTCCAGGTCTGTGGTTATCTTCATCTCTGTTTCTGATCCACAGAGCCGCGTCAATGGGCATCGGACCACTGCATTCTGCTCCATTAAAGGTGATGAACCAGCGCTTACAACATTTGTCACAACGCACGTATATATTACCTTGATAAACCACTCGTAGAGCGGTACTATCTCTCGTCTTGTCGAAGATGCACTCCTATAAAAAAAAAAAAAGCAAAACAGATCAACAGCAAATCAATCAAAAGAAAAGATTCATGATTTTTCACGTTGAAACTCTCTTAATCTGATAAATTCTTTATTTCAACCTTCCACCAATGTCACATACCTTAATAAGTCCCACGTCCCGACTGTCCGCAGCCCTCCACACGCACTGTTTCCAACTTCTGTAGTCGGTATCAGACCCTTTTGGTCCAACGTCCCCTTTAGCTCCACGTGGCCCTGGCTTACCTGCCACGCCCTTCTCTCCTTTAGCACCATCTCGACCATTTAGGCCTGGTACCCCGTTATATCCATTGTGACCAGGGAAACCGGGAGGTCCTCGCAGACACGTGCTGAGATTCTGTGAAAATTAAAGAGGATAGGTCATTAGACTCATCTTGGAATCGGAAATTTTGATCTAGCCATTCAGATCAGTATTCGTAATAATTAACTCGACTACTTTTTTTTTTAATGTTCTTTGGTTGGGACTATGTACTCAAGGTATTTTTGAGTCATGGACAAAAACATTTAAGACGAATTTATCTTCTAGACAAAAATATTTTCTTACTTTCCTTAAACAAGAAAATTTGAATCGATGACTTCGTCGGTCCGAAATAATTTCGAACGAAATGAACATTACTGCTAGTGCCCTCGAGCGTGGAAAATTCGAAAGTATACGCGTGTTCAAATATTGATCTAAGCGAAGTTCTTTGATATGACGTAATGTTATGGAAGCAATGTAAAAGAGATCTTTTGGGTGAGACTCGTCGCGTTTTTTTGGGTAAATCTTCTAAAATTTGGTGGAGCGTTTAACACATTTGTGATCTTCCTATTCAGGAAATTAACGAAAAAATATCATAGGACCCATTCTAAGCTATAGGCACAAAAGAAAAATTTTCAAAAAGCGAAGAAACTGCCCTTGAAATCACTAGTTTTTTCGACCGCAAGGACAAATTTTACATATTATGATTTTACGAGATTTTATCAAAGCGAATCGGAGAAAATTAAAATCAAAGCCAAATAACCGCGCGCTGGTGAGCGTCTACTTTTGGCGCATTTCTGCTCAAGATCGAAAACCTGTACATTTGGTAAAGAAAAGCAACAGTCCGACCCTTGTTTAT